TTGAGTTTATTTTTGTGTGGTGTGAGAAAATGATCTAGTTTCATTCTTCTGCATGTTGCCGTCCAGTTCTCCCAGCACTATCTGTTAAAGAGGCTGTCTTTTTTCCATTGGATACTCTTTCCTGCTTTGTCAAAGATTAGTTGGCTGTACATTTGTGCATCCAATTCTGAGTTCTCTATTTTATTCCATTGGTCTGTGTGTCTGTTTTTGTGCCAATACCGTACTGTCTTGATGATGACAGCTTTGTAGTAGAGGCTAAAGTCTGGGATGGTGATGCCTCTCATTTTGGTTTTCTTCTTCAATATTACTTTGGCTATTTGGGGTCTTTTGTGGTTCCATACAAATTTGAGGATAGTTTGTTCTAGTTTTGAGAAGAATGCTGATGCAATTTTGATTGGGATTGCATTGAATGTGTAGATTGCTTTGGGTAGTAATGCCATTTTAACTATATTTATTCTTCTAATCCATGAGCATAGAATGTTTTTCCATTTCTTTGTGTCTTCTTCAATTTCCTTCATAAGTTTTCTATAGTTTTAATCATACAGATCTCTTATATCTTTGGTTAGGTTTATTCCTAGGTATTTTATGTTTTTTTGTGCAATTGTGAATGGGATCAGTTTCTTGATTTCTCTTTCTGTTGCTTCATTGTTGGTGTATAAAAATGCAACTGATTTCTCTACGTTGATTTTGTATCCTGCAACTTTGCTGAATTCATGGATCAGTTCTAGTAGGCTTCTGGTGGAGTCTGGTTGGGTTTTCTATGTAGAATATCATGTCGTCCGAGAAAAGTGAAAGCTTGACTTCTTCTTTGCCAATTCTGATGCCTTTTATTTCCTTTTGTTGTCTGATGGCTGATGCTAGGACTTCCAGCACTATGTTAAGCAACAGTGGTGAGAGTGGCCATACCTATCATGTTCCTGATTGCAGAGGGAAATCTCTCAGCTTTTCCCCATTGAGGATGACGTTAGCTGAAGATCTCATCCTTTCTGATGGCTTAGTAATATTCCATTGTGTATGTATACCACATCTTCTTTGTCCATTCATTAGTTGATGGACATTTGGGCTCTCTCCATAGTTTGGCTATTGTTGATAATGGTTCTCTAAACATTGGGGTGCATCTACCACCTTTGAATCTGTATTTTTTTATCCTTTGTGCAATTGCTGGGTCCCAGGGTGGGGTCCACTTTTGTATTTTCTGTCTGGATATCCCATAATCATCCTTGATTATTTGTGGATAATGAACTATGTTATAGTTTTGTGGCTCACTATTTGTGATAATTCTTGTTTATTCAGAAATCCCCCATATTAGTTGCCTGTAAGATGTGAAGTTATAATTAAAGCATGGGATTAAAAACATGTCTTTGAACACACTAAATCCTCTCTGTAACTAGAAAGGTGTTTTGTGCATGAAACCCTTTAACTGTGTTTTCTCCCTGAGTTGCTAAAAGGATTTATTTAAAGGAGATTTTATCTGAAGTTAGTCCCTCATATAGGGGTTCTTGGTCCACATGGCCTCCTTGTGACCTTGGCTCAATCATGTGAGTGTGGCACATTCCCCTGTGGCATCTATCTTAGTTTGGTTTGTTCTTCCCTTTAATCAGGAATGAAGATCTTCCCAGAGTGATTTTCTGCCTTATTGTTATTCTACAGTCTTTCACGGTTGTTTGTGTGCTTGGGATACTGTATTATTTACAATGGCAGAACACTTAGGACACTGTTGGGTTTTGCAGAAGGCCACCTGCATGAGGGCAGCATTGTGAAGTAGGTGCAACCTATTTTCTAGAGTTCCAAGTCTTCCAGCTCCTTCCCTCTCCCCTTCTTTCCTTCACCCCACCTCAGTAGCACCACCTCCTTATTTTCATCCTCAGGCACCTCTGGTTCCTAGTTCCTGTTCCTAGACAAAGCCTCTTCGTCCCCATTAAAACTTGCTGTCAGCAAAGGATATGAATATATTTATAGAAGGTAATAAATGTATGAATATTGCTTAAAATAGTTCTGTTAAGGACAATTTGCACTTTCAACCCATAAAAAGGCTTAAAGTGCAGTGATGAATAGCTGACTGGGCAGTTCCAGGAACAACTGGCACTGTCCTTAGCAGCAGGACTCAGTCACTCCAAACCTTCAGTGGACTCCTCCACCCTCCTGTGAGCCGAAGCTCATTTCGTGCACTCTGCCACCAGCTGCAATCTGACCTAGGGCTGCTCTGTTGCAACTCCATGCATGGAAGGCTGGGGGGCGGGGGGGGGCGCATAAATCTCTCAGGAGCAATGGCTGGAGATGGTTTGGGCTACAGGGGCTTGGCAGGAGATTCCAGAGCATTCTAAATAGTGATGTAGAAGTTCTGATAGTAGACCACAGACTAACTAAGTGGCCATGGTTTTTGTCTTTGGGTTTTGGATGAAAACAAGAAGATTTTGTCCAAGATTCTTGTGAAGAATACATTATATGCATGAGTGCACAGCACCAGGAAAAACTATATAAATCTTTTATTTTCATTTATGTTTTAAAGGATGTTTTACAATAAAACATTTGAATTATGTTGCATACCTCCCTTTCAGCTCCATGTTGTTCACTGGAATTCAGACAAATATCCCAGCTTTGTTGAGGCAGCTCATGAGCCAGATGGACTTGCTGTTTTGGGCGTATTTTTACAGGTGAGAATACACTGATTTCATTTTAAATTATTAGTCAGTCATGTTGGATAAAGAGTTTCAGTCACGGAGAAGATAGTCTGCCACTTTTATTTTTTATTTATTTATTTATTTGTTTGTTTTTTTTTAAATTTTTTTTAATGTTTTATTTATTTCTAGGAGAGAGACAGAGAGAGAGACAGCGCGAGCAGGGGAGGGTCAGAGAGAGAGGGAGTCACAGACTGAAACAGGCTCCAGGCTCTGAGCTGGCAGTCAGCACAGAGCCCGACACGGGGCTCGAACCCACGAACCGCGAGATCATGACCTAAGCGAAAGTTGGACGCTTAACCGACTAAGCCACCCAGGAGCCCCGATAGTCTGCCACTTTTTATAGTAAACTCATTCTAAGTTTAATGTTTTCCTTTTGAAATTAATATTAAAAATTTATGTACTAGCCCATGATTCATCTAATAGCACAGATCTACCATAGGTGATTTGTGTTCTGTGTCCTCTTACCATCCATTGATCATTTTTATGTGGCCAGAGACAGCAGCAGCAGCAGCAACAGCAGCAACAATAACAATGGCAGGAATAATAACTGACATTCTGAGAAGATCTTTATTGTAGGCTCTTCCTGGTTATACAGTCTTTAGAGATACAAGACAGAATAAAGTTCCTGATTCTCGAAGTACTAGTTTTAGATTTTTTTTCAATTTTTAAAATTTATTTCTGAGAGAGAGAGAGAGGCAGCGTGAGCAGGGGAGGGTCAGAGAGAGAGGGAGGCACAGAATCTGAAGCAGGCTCCAGCTCTGAGCTGGCAGTCAGCACAGAGCCCGACGCGGGGCTCGAACCCACAAACCGTGAGGTCATGACCTGAACCGAAGTTGGATGCTTAACCGACTGAGCCATCCAGGTGCCCCTCGAAGCACTAGTTTTAGCACAATGGTTTGCTGTCTCAAACACACTGACCAATTTTTTAAAAATTTTGTTGTAACCCCCTTTGTCTAACAGTTACATGTGATTCCGCAAGTATCATTGTTCTAATACCCGTGGGTGGGTCGAGCTCCCACTGTTTCGCATTCTTGCAGGATGTGCACTTCTGCTCTACCATCAACTCTGTGTGTGATGTAACTCGTTGGGGGCTGGGACTGGGGGAAGCACAGGGCAGAAGGGAGGGAGGCATGAATGGCAGTGGCCCCCTCCCTTTGGCCACGACGTCTGCTAGTGGCAGTGAAATCCAAGTGAGGCCAAAGATAATGCTTTAATCCCGAAGGACTTAAAACCTTCAGGTAGATGCAGGACATCCCTAACAATGAGAAGAGGTACATCCATTTTTCTGATGATTTCTATTCATGATAATATATTGCTTTGGCTCAGGACCTCAAATCATTTTAGGTTGAAAATGGGAGATGTTTTCTTTTAATGCTTTCATGTCACAAGAGTCCGTTCGGATCTAGAGTCTGAAGGTCACATCTGGTGGAATCGTGCAAGTGTTACGTTAGAGTTTCCTAAGCAAATTTTCTCTTAAGTTAACCTGTACCTTAAACTTTCATAAAGCTAAAAACTATGTAGCTGTTACTACTAGTTTTAGAATCAAACTTATAATTCAGCCAAGGAGCACTGTAACATTATCTTGTTGTTCACTTTCTCTGGCATGATAAAGGCAGCAGGTAAAAGACAGATTCATTATAGAACAATCACTGTTTGTTCTGGGTTGGCAAAGGTTTTTCAAAGAAAGAATTAAAAAAAAAAAAACCGGCATGGAGTGAATCAGACCTGTTCAGTTAACAGTAACCATTTCTTTTGAAATTTCATGCTTTCAGATTGGTGAACACAATTCTCAACTGCAAAAGATTACTGACATTTTGGATTCCATTAAAGAAAAGGTAAAATGAAATATTATTTGCTAATGACTTGTTCCATCCCGAATTCTCTTACGTATTAACTTAGACTTTAGACATAGGATATGCTATCTGCTTTGAAGCAGGTTCGGAACATACTTGACCAATAGAGCAGAATTAATCTGTTGCCACATATCTTTTGAAAATTATGAAGGGGTCTTAAATGATCTAAAGTTATTACTAATAAATCTATGCATAATTAGTTTCTGGTATGGAGTTGTGCACAATAAGCATTTAGCTGCAGCACATTTTAAACAAATCTTGTGCTTCTGAAATAAATTTAGGTAATGTGCTACTTCATCTAAATAAGGCAAATACTTTTTTAAAGTTACAAAGGCAGATACTAAATAATTCCATGAGTTAAAGATTTCCAGTAAAATAGTATTTCATCGGATGTGTGTTTGTTTGAGGTCTGCATAAAGCTATCCTATTGTAATTTGTGGGAATTCTCTTTTCTCCACCAGGGTAAACAAACTCGATTCACAAATTTTGACCCATTATGTCTGCTTCCTCCATCCTGGGACTACTGGACATATCCTGGTTCTCTTACAGTCCCGCCTCTTCTTGAGAGTGTCACGTGGATCGTTTTAAAACAACCTATAAGTATCAGCTCTCAACAGGTATGTCACTGCTTCCGGGCTGATCTCGATTTACTAGAAGAAACTGGACTGAAACGTAAAAACAATTTTTTTTGGTGTTTAGTTTTTGAGAGAAAGAGACAGAGCGTGAGTGGGGGAGGGGCAGAGAGAGAGGGAGACACAGAATCTGAAACAGGCTCCAGGCTCTGAGCCGTCACCACAGAGCCTGATGTGGGGCTCGAACCCATGAGCGGTGAGATCATGGCCTGAGCTGAAGTCAGATGCTTCACCAACTGAGCCACCCAGGTGCCCTGAAACTTCTTTTAAATAAAAAAAATCCTTAATTTCTGCTGCATTATGAAGGCTGTGTTTTCCCTTCATTGATCAGATAGGTGGTTGGAAAAACTCATGCCCCTTTCCTATTTGACCTTCTGTGATTGGATGATTTCTCTCCCAGTTCTTAGAAATGTCATGTGCATACAGACACTGAGGAAAGTGAAGTGACTTTAAAGGCTATAATTGTTTTCTTTTTTGGTCTGAGATATAAACAGGCTGGGATATAAACAAGCAAATCAGGAGAGAGGTTATCTTTAAAGGGGACTATCTCCTTTGGACTTCAGTCCCTAGACCTGCTCCTCCTACAGATTTTCAGAAAAATGAGCAGTGAGAACAGCATTCAGAAAGTGAGCCGTGAGAACAGCAATGGATCTTTAGGCTTTTGTTGACAGAACTTTTGTGGGGCTGCTTGAGGGACTTTAAGCATTTACTAATGTGCAGTTGGGTGCCCACCCATGCTGTTTCAGGGAAGACATTTCCTCACTTGTTTTTCTGATGAACATATTGAGCCCCCATGATAAATAAGCCAAGCAGTCTGCAGGCTCAAGATGTCTTTGATGCCTAGAAACTCTGCTCAGATCTACAAACTGTGACCGACCAGTCTGATAGGTGGAGGCTATGTCTTCTGGGATGCTGTGCTTAGTGGGTTTTATTTTCTTTTTGTTTTTCTATTTGAATTATTTGCTGCAAAATCTTAATAAGAGCATCGTCTAATACTTTTCGCAGCTCATTAAGCCCTTCTGTTTTGGGCTATCCCACCTTCCGAGCTATTTATTTTTTTACCCCAGTCAAAGACTAGAGCTGGTTCACCTTTACTAAGGTCATGTCAGGTAACATTTCTCCTTGGCATGTTGAACACATCCAACTTCTGTTGGCCTTGTCTTTAGGATTAAAGCCAAACAATACTCTAGAACATACTAATTAAACATTTTTTAAAAGTTGAGATTGAAGTCCAGACCTGACTGACATGGAAATTCCTGCAACTTTTCCCAATCATGAATAAGGTGCATTGTGTCCTAAGAAAAATGACCTGTCACTGATTCAGTGGCCTTTGTAATGGAGTACATTTTTCTTTCCTTCATGTAAACTGTTTACTTTTACATTCCTTTGTTAAATTTGAAGAAGTTAACAGTAGGAATTAATAAGATATAACAGCAAGGTAGTAATAATAGGAGATCATGTTCTTCCTCATGTTTTAAGGATGCTTTTATTTCCTAAAGCCACTTGGAAAATAAGTTTTTAAAATCTATCTGCCGTTCAGAAAAGACTGTGTCAAAATATATAATTTAGTTGCTTACAATGCATAAGACTAACCTAATCAAATGACCAGCTGTAAGGGCACTTGGGTGGCTTAGTCAGTTGAGCATCTGACTCTTGATTTCAGCACAGGTCATGATCTCACGTGAGATCAAGTCCCACCCCGGGCTCCACTGTGAATGTGGAGCCTACTGAAGATTCTCTTTCTAACCTTTGTATACTAAGAACAAACTAAGGGCTGAGAGGGGAGAGGGGAAGGGAGGTGATGGGCATGGAGGGGGGCGCTTGTTAGGATGAGCACTGGGTGTTATATGGAATCCAACTTGATAATAACTATGAAAGAAAAAAAAACTTCAAAAAAGATTCTCTCTCCACCTCGCTCTCTCTGTTCCACCCTTGCTCACGTGTGTGTGCTCTTTCTCTCTCAAAATAAATAAATAAACATAAAAAAATGGCTCACTGTAAGTTTAGGAGTTATGACTACCTAGCTATGGATTCACTGCTGTATCTTATTTAGGTATCAATTAATTAATATTAAGTATTAATGGGGTTTTTATATGGCAGAATACACAAAATAATGTCTGTATTCTAGAACTTTAGTGAGATTGATAATTCACTGTGATCTATTTAGATTTACTTAAATCTAGTATAGTAGGAGTACTTTCAGACATTTTCATTTATAACCAGGCTGCACATGATTATCTGGGTAATAATCTAAGTTATTATAATGTGACATTATGGTGATTTTAAGAGTTAAAAAATGAGGCAAAAGTTATTTTAAAAGTCCAATCCCAGTCTCACCATGAGAAAACATCAGACAAAGTCCACCTGAGGAACATTCTATAAAACAGCAGATCAGTACTCCTCAAAATTGTCAAGGTTATCAAAAGCAAGGTGAATCTGAGAAATTATCATCAAGAAATGCTCAAGGAAATATGACTACCAAGTGTAATGCTGCTTCCTGGTGAGATCCTGGAACGGAAAAATATATTAGATAAAAACAGAAGAAATCTTAATAAAGGGTGGACTGCAGTTAATGGTAACATATTAATATCGGTTCACCAATTGTGAAAAATGTACCATACCAATGTAAAATATTCATAATGGGGGAAATTGAGTGTGAGGTATATGAGAATTATTTGTACAATCTTTGCATTGATTTTGTAAATCCAGAACTGCTCTAAAATAATAAGATTATTTAAAAAATCCAAAGCATGAGGGAGTTGAGATGATTATTTAGTTGCTTGTCTATTTCCTATAAAGGAAAATGAATATGTCTTTTGTGTATACCACTTACTTGAGAGTTACTTTCCAAAAGATAATTTTTAATCTCAATTTTGGCAGCTCTATTCTTTTGAAGTGCCTGAGGCACATTGTTTTATTTATTTTCCAATTCTACCATATAATGTCACTAGCTATGAAGATTAAATTCTTTTTTTAAGTAAGTTAGTGCCAATTTTTTTCTAGGTTTTTCTATTGCTATTTCTTGCCAAGTCACTGTTTGAGCAAAAAGGCAAATCAGATGGTTTTCATTTTCTTTTATTTGATTCAAGCCCATTTTTGTCCCCAGAGTCACTTATTGAAATGCTTGATTTAACTGCCAGACCAGTAAACAGATATGCTGATTTCTGATAGTTTTTATAACAAATCCATCATTCTCTTTGGAAAGCTAAGCTAACTTTTTTGACAGGTGTCTTTGGGTTATCCTAAATTATCTAAATTGGCTTACTCATCTACAGAATTCAGTGTGCAGAATACTTGGTTTTAATTCTTTGCTCTTTTTTGAAAAAAGATTCTCTTGGTGCTCCTGGGTGGCTTAGTCAGTTAAGCATCCAACTATGGCTCAGGTCATGATCTCATGGTTCGTGGGTTCGAGTCCCGCATCAGGTTCTATGCTGACAGCTCAGCGCCTGGAGCCTGTTTCAGATTCTGTGTCTCCCTCTCTCTCTGCCCCTCCCCCACTCATGCTCTGTCTCTCTCTGTCTCAAAAATGAATAAACTACAAAAAGATTTTTTAAAAAGAAAAAAAGAACAAAATTATCTTTGTTATTTGTTATGATCTTTGCATACAATAAAATTCATGAATTTTAGTGTGCAGTTGATGATTTTGTTATTGTATATGACTGTGCAGCAACCACTAGATCAAGATATAAAACAGATCTTGGCTCCAAAATTTCCTTGCACTCTACCTCCTTACTAAATCATGGCTCTAGGCAGTTGCTGTGATGCTGTAACTAGGATTCTGCCTTTTCTAGAATTTATTTAAATTGAATCATACAGTATGTAGATTTTTGTGTTTGACTTCTTTTTCTTAGCATAATGTTTTCAAGATTCACTGACTGTTACTGAGTAAAATTCTATGATATGGATATGCCACATTAGTTTAAAATCTATTTACCAATTGATGGACATTTGGATTGCTTCCAGTTTGGGGCTATTATGAGTAATAGCTATCCATATTTGGGTGTTGGGAATAATTGGCATATACATTTTTTTTGTAGACATATGTTTTCATGTTTTGTGGCAATACCTAACACTAGATTTACTAGATCACGTGGTAAATTCATGTTTAATTGCATAAGGTACTGCCATATTGTTAAAAAAAATTTTAATTTTTAATTTAATTTAATTTTTAAATTTTAAAATTTAAAATTTAAAATTTAATTTAATTTAAAATTAATAAATTTAATTTAATTTTTATTTTATTTTTGAGAGAGAAACGGAGAGAGACAGAGAGTGGGGAAGGGGCAGAGAGAGAGGGAGACACAGAATCCCAAGCAGGCTCCAGGCTCTGAGTTGTCAGCACAGAGCCTGACCCGAGTCTCAAACCCACAAACTGTGAGATCATGAGCTGAGCTGAAATTGATGCTTAACTGACTGCGCCACTTGGGTGCCCCTGCCATTATTGTTTTTAATGTGGCTGTTCTATCTTCCATCCTCATTGCTTTATATGAGATTTCTGTTTCCTTCACATCCTTGTCAGCCGTTGGTGTTGTCAGTCTTTATAACTAGCCATTCTAGTGGGTATACGTGATTTCTAATATGCATTTATCTGATGACTAGTAATGTTGAGCATTTTTCATGTTTATTGACTACATATGTCTTTGGTGAAATATGTATTCAAATCATCTTATTTTTTATTTTTTTTAATTTTAAAGTTTATTTATTTAAAAAATTTTTGTAACATTTATTCATTTTTGAGAGAGAGAGAGACTGTGAGTGGGGGAGGGGCAGAGAGAGAGGAAGACACAGAATCTGAAGCAGGATCCAGGCTCTGAACCACTCACGAGTGGTGAGTTCATGACCTGAGCTGAAGTCAGATGCTTAACCGACTGAGCCACCCAGGCACCCCTCATCTTCTTTTTAAACTAGGTGTTTGTCTTTTTATTATTGAATTGAAAAAGCTCTTTATTCAATCAAGATAAAGCCCTTTTTAAAATACATGTTCT